TTTGGCTTGGAGGTCTGGTTCATATTTAACTGGAGGTTGACCACGGTTAGAACGAGGTGGAAGAATATATTGAACAGTAGTAGACTCAGTGTTTGGTGTGCTGGTGGTCTCACGCAGACAAGAATCAATTTCATGATCAATTTCATTAGTATTATCAGAGATAGTATCAGAAGGTACCTCTGAAGAGTCAAGTTGAACCTGTGGAGAAGATTGAGCCAATTGGTTATGATCAGAAGACACTGTATTATCCAGAAAAGAAGGGTCCATATTTAGGATTGGCTCACTTCCTGCAGAATGATCCTCACACAATAATTTATCTTCACAATCAAACATACCAACATCACGATTATGCACTTCACTTTCATTGCCTCCCTGAAGTGGAGAATCAACATAAAAAAATTCATGCTCATTAAATGTCACATCCATAGAAATATAAAATTTCCTTGATGGTGGATGGTAAGCACGATAACCTTTTTGAGTTGATCCATACCCAACAAAAACACATTTGATCGCTCGTTCTTCAAGCTTTGTACGTTGATGTGGGTGTAAGTGAACATATATAACACATCCAAAAATATGAGGTGGTAAATAAACTATGGGAGGAAGGATACAATGATCAGACAACACATCAAAAGGCCTTCGAAAGTTAAGCACACTAGAAGGAGTTCGATTAATTAAATAAACGGCAGAGCTCACAGCTTCACCCCATAAATGAGATGGGACATTACCATCTATCAAAAGTGATCTTGTCACCTCTAATATATGTCTATTTTTCCTCTCAGCCACTCCATTTTGTTGTGGTGAATAAGGACATGTAGTTTGATGCAAGATGCCTTTAGAGTTCATGAACTCTATTAATTCAGTCTTAAAATATTCTCCTCCATTGTCTGATCGAATGACCTTAATAGATGTGTTAAATTGTGTAACAATCAAATGATAGAAGGAACGAACCACATCACACACATCACTTTTATATTTAAGCAAATATACCCAGGTTACCCGAGTACAATCATCAACAAAACTGATAAACCATTTTTTTCCATTATGTGTAGATTGCGGGGCAGGGCCCCAAACATCTGTGTGAATTAATGAAAAAGGAAAATTAGTTTTGTTATTGCTTAAAGGAAACACAACACGATGATTTTTTGCCAAAACACAAGTTTCACAAAAAAAATCAGAAATATTGCATTTATGAAATAGTGATGGAAATAGTTTTTTTAAATAACCAAAAGAGGGATGTCCCAACCGTCTATGCCACAACCAAATTTCTTTTTTGTTTTTATCTTGTATGTGATCGTTCGCAAGACAAGTCAATCCTTTATTATGGTTTGATTGTGAGACATTTTCAAGATAATACAGTCCTTCACTCTCTCTACCACTAGCAATCTTCTCCTTGGAATGGATGTTCTGAAAAAGACAATGGGTTGGGTAAAATAAGGCAACACAAGAATGTGATTTGGTTAACTTGCTGACGGAGATAAGATTACAGTTTAATGTAGGAACAAATAAAACATCAGGAATCGATAAAGAGGGTGAGAGGGATATAGTACCTATACCTTCAATAGGAGATGAGACCCCATTGGCATTAATAATAACAGTTTTAGAACAATTAGAGGAAAAATTAGTAAATATATGAGGATCACAAGTCATATGATCAGTAGCACCCGAATCAATTATCTAATTACTATCCTTAGTAACAACAGAAAGATTAAGGGCAGAGTTAGATACACCTGACTTGGTCACAAATCCGACAGCAGTAGAAATATAACTCTTGAAAGCAGCGGAAGTTCCAGAATCATGTTTCTCCGATTGATTGTCATCGGAAGAAGCCATCAGAAATATTCAATGAAAAAAGGCACTGATTCCTATATCTTAGAGGATATCAGTGTTGGCTCTGATACCATAATAAAAGGTTTAAAGAATAATTCTGATATTTTATTTCAAAGAGTAGAGTACCATATATATACATTTAAGGATCCTATAATCCTTCATCTATTAAAGGAATGAAAGGTGCACAAATCTGCACAAATTATAATAATATCTAAATTATAACTAACATAATATTTGATTGCCTAATATCCTTTAATAGAATATTTAGCATATCTTAACAGGTCCCGCTTCCTGGAATTGGTTTTGGATGTCTAAAATTAGATATCTTTGGTACCAGAGAAAAAATAAGCAATTATTTCTCTTTTCACACAAAAATAAGAAAAAAAATGAAAACATAATTATTTATTTATTTACTCTTAAAAGTTTTCTACTTGTTTCGAAAACATACACGTACATAGGGAATTAGTGTGGTCACTGATATATTTCTTGTTCTGTTAACAACAACAAGAACATCATGAAATAATTTAATAGATATATCATTCCTTCGAATTCCTCGTATTTCAAAGCGAAAGACAAATAATAGAGACAAGAACATTGACGAAGGTTTTATTCAAGAAAGGCCACAAAATAAGGCAAGTATGGATATTGATGTGAAAAAATCAAAGTTAGGATTCAGTAATTTCATATGGCATGTGCCTCACATGGCTTGAATAATTCTTAAATCGTGAATCGGTGGCTTTTAGGTGTAAAATAATACATAGACTCGGTTCTGCCAAACTTTATCTTTTAAATTCAACTATGACATTTTTCAAGCTGTTCTCATTAATTTTCATAAATTTTAAGGCATTTTTGGTTTATATAATAGAATTAAAAAAATTAATTTTTAAGTTTTACATAAATGGTTAAAAAACTTAATTTTTAATTGAATTTTAAATTTAATTCAATCTTATAAAATTGATTTATTTATAAAATGATATTTGCATGTATCTTCTAAATTGACTTGACGTGGAACTTCGAACGGCAAGAATTCTTCGTGTTGTTATATTGAAAATTAGTTTTTCATTTAAACAGTGAAGCAACGATTTTGTCCTTGAATAAATAAATCATGCTATATATCTTTATTGGGAGAATTTTAAAATCCTTTCTTCAAGCAAAAGACACTTGTTGCTTCTGATTTGGAGTAGAAACAGATAAACACCGACCTATGTTATTTCGAGTAAAACAAAGCTTTGAATCCTCTCGGTACTGAAAATATACGTATTAAAAAGAAGTTTATCAACAAAATATTGTTCATTTTTTTTTATGAAACTGAATCATTGTTTGTTTTGCCCCAAAATAGTTCCCAGGGAACCAAAAATCATTGCAGAGTTGTCAATTTCTTTTGTCAAATGGAGAAAACAGAAGAAATATAAACTTCTGACATGAAAAATTTAGAGTGGGGACAAAGTATGGGTTGTTCTTCCACACTAGGGTTGCAATTGCAAGAGATGCTCCAAGAAACCAAAGAAGGTCAACGAATGGGTGATTCAACGTTTGTACTATAATCAGGTCCACCACAATCATAGTAGTAACCACATTTATTTTTCAGATTAAATACGTCGTAAGATTGAATTATTATCGTACTGTGTCTGATTAAACTGTCCAAATCAACTTAACGCTTGGTTTCTTCAATCCAACACAGATATGTATGCTATGTTTGCTGTTTTGGAATGTGCAGACTCGTTTTAAGGCTTTTAATCCTCGTATATCAATGTTGTAAACATGTTAGCTCGGTGCTGTAATAATAATGATGGTTATTTTTTTTTTAATTTTCGAAACAGGGTTTATATTTATGCATACAATGGAAGTTGATGATGAAGTCCTTGTATCTCAATTATTTTTCATTATTGATGATTACTCTCACGTGCTCACAAATAGTGAAGATCCAATGTCCCATGCATAATCAAAACTATTATTATTATTATTAGTTCCCAGCTTGCTGGGAAATGCTTTTGAGTTAGACGTTGAAACATCAAAAATCAAAACTCCATGTTTGTTATTATTCTTTTTTTTTTCGCTTTTGTTTTTTTCGAAGCTAAACATCAGGATAATAATAACTATAACAATAATAGTATAATTATATAGATTTCATTAAGATAGTTTTACGAATTCAGAAATCATATAGAATGACTGTATCTTAAAAGAGAATTGATCGAATTTAGCATTAAATTCATGTGTTGTGTGCTCTTATCTACATACACGTCGAGTAAATATATAATATTTTTATTTGTAGTATTCTATCACCAGAAATCAATTCAACATCGCAGATCACAAAATCCATCCACTTGCATGAGAAGACAAGTAATTTGTGAATACAATATCTAAAGATCAATACTTTAATATTGTGCTAATAACAATACACATTATATATTGTGAATAAAGGGCACACGAAACTACTTATATAATAGTAGAAAAATAATCTATCAGATTAATCATGACCTTTAGTTCCTCCAAATAATCTTAAATTTAGTTCTTCTTATTTAAATTCCTGTAGTCCAGCTCATACAATTCTAATCCCTAAACACTTGAACTAAAATGATGAAATTAAAAATAATTTAAAACCGCAGATCCTAGAACACATTTTAGTCCCTTAAATTTAGTATTTAGAAACTATAATAATTTCTTTTAATTCAAAACAAGCCAAAATGATCACAAATTCAAAGAATTAATAGTAGTTTTAATCCTTATATCTTAATACACTTTAGTCCCTTAAATAGACAAATTATAACTTCTGATTTTAAGGAACTAAACAAACTTATTTCATAAACTAAAAACAATTAAATTTAGTTTCTCACAAAACAAGTTAAATCTAAAGTTTGCTTATAACTTCTGAAGCTAAGGATTACTCCCCCACACTCTTTTCATACACACCTCTCGATCACATCAAAACTGAGATAAAAATTTAACCCAAACTGAGAAGATCCACGAATCTCAAGCATAATGAACTATTACACCATCTTAAAATTTAAATTTCAAACTACTGAACACCAAAAGTTATTTATAAAATTATTCACTCCCCTCTTCTCGATAATTACTGTAATTTCCTTTATAGAGATAATAGTAATAATATTATTATTAATAATAAAATAAAATAAATAAATAAAAATAAAAATAAGGAATCGAGCCTCGGCTAAAACTGCCAAAAATTAGATAAATTATAGCTAAATTTGGTTCTGCAAACAAACAAAGCACATCAGAAAAACATCTCCTGCTATGCTATACTCAATCTACGGGTCTAACATTGATCATTACAACGGTAAGTTTAAAAAAAACTGAAATCAACACAAAATCTTTCAAAGGAAACTATAGACTAGTAAAAGAAACCAAGCACTTTCCCTCCAACATTCTTCCTCCTAGCTTCTTCATGGTCCATGATGCCAGCAGAGGTAGTCAACACAATATACCCAAACTGAAACATTTGTGTAATCAAAGGTTAGGCATCAGCAATTAAATTGTGTCGAAAGCCACTATGTGTACCTTACTATTAAAAAATTTAATATACAAGCACAACATTGTTAAAGAAACACGAATATACTAATGAAACAGAACAAAAAATATTCCAAGAAAATTGTAGCATAACACCAATCCATTGGTCAGTTGGCTTAACTTTGCTCCCCATTTTAAAAACTTTACACATGAGGATAAAAATAACTTCCAGTTGCTATCTCTATATTAATAATACTTATACCGATACAAATTGAAAACAGTGATTATTTTATCAAACCAATGTGCCCGAGTATCTGACTCTAATGGCACTGGAGGCCAATATTATGCCATCATTTCAAAGGTGTTCTTCCTTCTATGAAAAATCTTGGTAAAATATAAACAAAATCATCCAAAAGAAAGATTGATAATTCAGAATGTAACTAGCTGAAATAATCATATGCCACTTAAACTCTCAAATTATCAAACAATGGTTTTAAGTTCAAAATTGTAAACAAGAAAGTTACAAGAAAATGACTCGAATAAGTTTGTTGTCAAAAACAGATTACTATCTTTTATAACAAGTACCAAGAACAATAACATTTCTGATGTTCGAAAAAGGACAATGCTTTTGAACTAACCTGTCTTGAGGGGAGCAGCCTAGCAGTCCAACTCTCAATCTCTTTGACACCCACATCAAAACGGGGACTAATAACCCCACATTTGTTCAATCTACCATTCAATTCAACGACAATTTTCCCAGCTCTGTGATCGTCAACATACTCAAACTCTCCAATGTACCCTAGAAAGAAACCAAAGCAAATATATAGAAAAATTAAGAATCAAATAGTGGTCAAATAGAAATATCTACCAAGAAATAAGGGATAACATGTACCATGCTTTTGCATCACCAAGAGGAATTTTATAATCACTTTGGAGGATGGCCTAATCATGACCTGGCGCTTCCCCCTCTTCTCAGCATTGTACATGCTCTTGAGAGCATCATTCAAGACACTGACCCTCACCATTGTCACTGTCAGGAATTTCACAAGAATTAACCACAAGGCATAACCAATATTATACCAATCAATGTAAACACGTTTTCCAATTTCAAAATCCTAAATCGCCACAGTCCCACAATACACCCGTATCTAGACCCCCTTGATATAGGAGATACAACAGATGTAATAAGAACAAAAGCTAATACTAAACATCATTCTAAACGCCAATAATACTAGTAGTAAAGTTGTGTATGCATTTCGTGATCAAAACAGAAATAACAAAATAGCAAAGTGTTTCAACAAAAGGTAAAATTTTGCTAGCAAGGTATCCTTTAACATGCTCCCGCAACAAAAAAAGAATACAAAGGTCAAGGATCTCAACATGAATCTAAACACCATAAACAAGTTTTAGAATCCATTTCTGCATCGTGAAAGGTTAGATAAGAAGGGTAACAAAGCAAATCTAGAAATCCCAGAACCAAATTTCGTAACAGGGAAACAGGAATCGGATCTTACCGTGATAGTACAATGGAGGCACAGAAACGGCTTGGGTGCTGAAGAAGGCAAACAATTTAGGAGGACACTGGGTATAAAGCAACTTCTACGTGTGTTTAGGGTTTGGAAGGGATCAAAGGTTTTGAGCCCATGACAGTTTCCATTTGTTGGGCCCTTCCTTCAGGCCCATAATTGTTTGGCGCATTCAATATCTCATTGTTAGTATATGAAAACGAATTAGATTAGAACATTTATTCGAAAATAAATAAATCGTCCTACTTGTTTTAAATATGCAATAATATTTTATGAAAATTGTACTTCATTCTTACTTTTAATTGATTTCTGTGTAAATAATTAGAACCGTATTTTTAATTATCAATCTTTGATGACAATTCTTTAAATTTTTTTTATGATAGACTGGTTTTGGTGATTTTTCTTAGTTTCTTATCTCTCTCAATCTATAATTTTTAATATATCTAATTTATACATTAATTTGAATTTTTCAATAAATTATCAATAACTAAAAATAATAGTGAATCACAATATAAACCATTTGTAATAAATAAAATATAATATATATGTTCAAATATTTATTTATTATAAAATTTAATTATACAAAATAAACATTTAGTTGAGTTTAAGTATGTATGTATATATGAAGCTCAAAGAAAAATTATTCATATTTTTGTTCACTTAATTTTAATTGGTTTGCATTCTTAATTTGTTACCAGTGCATATAAAGTTTTATTTTTCAATATAACTTTAAATTTTCAGTTGAAATATGTGTAACAGTTTATAAATATCCTAGTATGAATACTTTAACCACAATTTACTTACATGAATAATTTGAAAACAATGATATGTTTTACTCGGTGACTTAAAAAGCATGGATTAGTATTTTCTTAGTTTTAAACTGTCGATTGAATATTATCTTAGTGGTACGAAAATTCAAAGCATTTAAAGTATCATGGTTAGAGTTCTTCCAAATGTTTAAATTAAACTAAAGTGATATTGAATTAAACTATAAACATATTTTGTTTATTAAAAAAAATGAACTGCTAATTAAATTATAGAAAAATTGATTTGTTTAAAAAATAAACTGAATCGTTATATCAATTTTTTTTTCTTAAACAGAAGTGAGCTAAATTTATAACCTATAGAATTAAGAAATATATTTTAAAATATTTATTAACAATAATTCAACATCTAAATTTATAAATAATTTAAAATATTTAATTTAGTTCTATTTAATCAATTTAAATTATTGTATAATTTCATTTAATTTATTTGAACTACTTTTTAAAGTTTAATTTATGTAATACTTCAATTTTATTCATATATTTTGATGAAAAAGGCATATTTCATAAAAGGTAAGCATAGTCATAACATATTACAATTTTAATTGACAGAGAATATTAACTAAGCAATAGCAGACATCATAGAAAATTATTATTGGATTATTGGATAGGAAGTGTTGTTGAATATTATATGTCAATTGGGACTTAATTTTTTTAATTACTTTTAAATTTATTACTTCTAAATTATATTAATGTTAATTTAATGAAAAAGATCTCCTTACATTTATATAAAATGTGACGTGACAATGACTTCTGATAAACACTATCATTGTAACATTGCATAATAAGAACTGACATGTAAAAGAAAAACTAAAAAATAAATAAAAAAAATTGAAATACCACGAAATGAAAAGTAATATGTGAAAAACAATGTTAACACTAATATATAACTGAAATGACCTAATTGAGTTGTTTTAATAAAAATCGACACTTAATTCAAAAATAAATAAAATAACCAAATTGAATAAGCTAAGCAAAAATCAGAAAAAAAAATAGCCTAAAATTTAATGTTTTAACTTTCTTTTATTTTTAAATTTTAAATACTAATATATATTATTATATTATTATAATTGGTGTGAAGTGCGAGTAATCATTTTAACTGAATGAAAACATATTTTTCCCTACCAATTATTCCAAAGATTCCATTACTATACTTAGAATTGTATTTATTATTTAAGCTTTTATTAAAAGCCGGGTAATTTATTCAATCATTATTTTACCATTGATATAAAAGTTCAAACCATGTCAAATTTGAACACTTAACAATTTTTTTTAATATATTTTAGTATTTTTAATAGGATGTTGTCAATTTCCTTGATCTATTTCTTGTGAGAAAGAAAAGTCAAGATCACTAATATCATATTGATATTCACTAACACTTAAATTAGTTTCAAGATTAATACAACATTATTTTTAGTTATTTTTACTTAAAATACCATTAAATAAATAATCAGTTAAAACAAATATCTTACTGAATAGTTAGTCTGATATTGTAACCAATCTCAAGTTTTTTAATATGATGTTATAAATTTTACACTAAAGAAGCTTTTTATTATATTTAATTTCAATAACAACCTTTTGCATTTCACCCCTTCTGTTAAGTGTGTTAACCTACATTCACATTCTCAAAAATTGTCTCAAGTTTCAAGAGAGGTTGTTTTTATCCTATATCTCCAATCATTTTATTGTACACTTCCAAATCTTTCAAAAATTTTAAAATTGTCTTATAAAATTCAGAAAATTCTACGTCCATTTTGTTCTACTTCATCGAATATCAAAATCTAATAAAAAAATATTTTTTCATCCGAAATTCGATAAAGAAAGACGAAGAAAATGATTTTCTTTTTTAAATTTTGAAATTCGATGAATATAAAGTTATTTTTAAAAATTAGAATTGCATGATGAAATCATTAGACAAGAAGGGTAAATCAACCTTCTAAGACACCGTTTAAAAAATTTCTATACAAACACTAACCCATTAAAAACATGGTGTAAGTGTAATTGAAAAAAGCACAAGGATTAATCGTTTTGCATGATGCCATTTATAATGAAAGTTCTAATGTCAAAAATATCTTTTCTTCGTTACAACATTAATGTTCTTTCATCCATATTTTGTTTGAGAAATGTAATATTCACGGTCCATATTTGACATGATATTATAACATTCTTCCATCAAACACATAAATTATAAAATATGAAAACCCTGGTTAACAAGAATCTTTTTGCATATAGTGGACTAGAAATGAAAAAACATAATAATGAGAATAATTAGCATGGATTGTGAAATGATTTGTGGAGGACATCACGTTTTGTTACGATGAGGAAAGGAGTGAGGAATAAGCTGGTTGCATAGGCAGATGTAGGAATCATAAAGAACATGATCTTTGGAGCCAGTGCGATGGTAGTCGTTGTGTTTGAGGAAATACTTGATTTGTGCGAGCGTGCAGCACCCGATGGTTTGACCCAACAACAAGAACAACCAGTTAATGTTCTTTTTCTTCGTATTTTCAAACGAAGGTTGGACGCTGTTGTCTTGTCCGCAATGCTCGCATTTTGGGAGCTCAGGCCGCATCCAAACCTCGGGTGCCCTTTCGTACATCTTCTCGAATTCCTCATCAATGAATTTCATCACCCGTCTCAGATTGTACTCCAGATCAAGAACCATTTCGAACTTGTTTTTGCACCTCTTGCACTCTACCTTCCCCTTGATGGCGTGGATCCCGTTCTCATAAAGGTAGGCCAGCCTGTGAACGGTGGCGCGCCGGTCCGTGGCCCAGGGGAACGGCGGAGGGATGGTTTCGCTCTTCGCCCCGGATGAGGAGCGACCACGGCGGCGGGGTGGGCGAAGATTTGACTTAGCCGGTGGAGGAGCGTCGATATCATTAACGATGGAGGGTGTGCATGGTACCCTCACGAGTTGCCTTGTTGGTGGAGAGTCTCTCGCTGGTCTCTTTCGACTGGTGCCGCATGAGAGGGAGAATGTGAGCAAACCTTCATCATCACTATCATTCTTATCATTGTGGTTCGACATTTCTTGGTTTAGGTTAGAAGATGATATGAGCACTTTTAGAAACCGAAATATATATATCTCTGATTTGTGAGTGTTTTTTCAAAATATAACCAACTCTGTTTAAATTTTTTAGCCGTTTTCTTTTCTTTTTCAAAAGTATTCTATTTTTTTTTTTTGAGAATTACTAAATCAGTTAGGCTATTCAACATTTTAGTTAAAAAACCATTTTTAAAAATATAAAAAATCCTTTAAAATTTAACGTATGGAAGTGTATTAAAACCAACTTTAGGTCTTATTAATTTGAAGTTCTTTGTTATTTATTTAACATGTACATGGATTTGGAAAAGTTTGTATAGAGACAATAATTAGGGCAAAAGTAGTGGTATATATCTTTATCTTATTTATACTTATTACATTTTTATTTTTTATTTTTTTCTTCTTTTTATTTTTTCTAAATATATATTAAATTATATAATCTATGAATCTATTATTTTTATTTTTTCTAAATATATTAAGTGTTGATAAACTTTTTTTACATTCATAAATATCCTTTTTAAAATAAATGGTTTGTAAGGGAAGTCAAGTTAAAAATAAAAAATAAGAAAAGAAGATTTTGGGTAGACGCATGGATGAATAATCCAGATAGAAGTAGAATCTGTTTTTATGAAATGGTGGGTTGGTATCAAATGTTGTCTAATGGAAATCAACATTAAAGAGTTTTTTTTTTCCACCTTTCATCTTATGTTTTATAAACCAACATCATTCTTGTTAGAGGAAGAGACGAGAAGTAGAAGAATGAACTCAAATCCACTTGCTTGAAAATGACAAAATGAGGCATTTATTGGTGTTTCATGAAGAGATCAAAACTTTCTTTTAGGTACTTCTCTAATTCAAATTCCCTTATAAAGTTTTGTACACTGTTCTACTTTCTAAATCGTCTAGATTTTGCTTAGGAAGACTTGTTGAGTGTCTCAAAGTCATATTTCCATTTACATTTTCTTTATCCACACATGTGATTTACATTACTATTGTGCAAGTATCAGGAACAATTAATATCCACATTTCCACCTATTAATGTTAGTAACAAGTTAGCTCTTCTTCATTCACAAGATTAGGTTTTTCCTCCATGTCATTGAGTTCCCAAGATAAATGGCCAAGGTTATGATAATTTAGCATTCAAATTTAGACTTCTCATCCCTTTTTCATTTTAAAAATAACCATTACCTCTTCCTCTTTAGGATGAATAATTTCTCTTTTTCATTGTTTGAACCATTGTTATTATTTTCTTTTTCTTTCTTTCTTTATCTGAACATGATCTCTTTCTTTGTCCACAACCATGTCCTATTTCTTGTCCACGTCTTTGTTAACTATAAATCTTCCATTATTATTTAAAGAAGTTTGAGCTTTGAGAGCTTGTTTCAATTGCTTTTCTCATTTTTTTTTCATTCTTTCTTCATGAGCTTGTAGAGAACGTTCCAATAATTCAATACTCGTGGAGTCAAAATCTTTTGACTTTTTAATCACACATGACATATAATTGAACTTTGGAGTCAAGGAATGAATGGTATATTTTCTACCACATAGACATCTTCTATTTTATCCCATATTGCTTCCATTGATTGACAATCGCATTTACTTTTGAGTAATATTCCTAAATTATTCAAATTCCTTCATCTTTAAAGCTTTGAAGTCACTCCTTAACAATTAAAGCCTTATCTTCTTCACTCTGTCAACGCCTTTTGGAGTAAGAGCTTCTTGATCATTTTTTCTTGTTTTCAACAAAGTCTTTATTTGATTTGGAGATCATTTATCTTCATCTTGAAATTCTTCGTAGTTTTTTTGTAGAATTTATCAAGCACCTTGAAAGTCAAACAATGATTTCATATGAAGGCACCATTTTTCATAATTTTCTTTGGTAAGATGAGGAAATAAGAAAGTAGTATACCCATTGCTTGTCATTTCTCAACTCCATCTTTCTCTCTCTCTCTCAATTCTCTATAATTCAAACTTAGTTTTTAATACCACTTTGTTAGAGGAAGAGGTGAGAAGTATAAGAAAGAACTCAAATTTTATCACTTGAAAATGACAAATACAATAGGGTATTTATGAGTGATTCATGAAGAGATATAGACCCTTTTTTAAAAGCTTCTCTTATTGAAACTCCACTATAAAATTTTCTACACTCTTCTCAATCAGAAACCTTCTAAATTTTTTAGATTTTACTTAAAATGGAAATTCTATATTTTGAAATGGTAGAGGAATAACTAAAATGGTTATTAGGGTGTTGTCAAATGTTGTCTAAGAAAAATCAACTCTTACTCCAAAAACTAAAATATGTTTTTTTCTACCTTTCGTCCTTTTATATTTCGTGGACATAAAAAAGAGAATTCTAATCTCTTTACTTGAAAATGAAAAATACAATATGAAATATTTATAGGTGTTTCATGGAGAAATCTAGGAGCTTCTCTAATTAAAACTACATTGTATAATTTTGTATCTTGTCAAATATAAACTTTCTAAATTATTTAGATTGTAGGAAACATAAGATTCATTTTAGATACTTTTATAGTTTGAAATGAGGAAGAAATAACTAAACTGTTAGTAGACTGATAAATGTTGTCTATTAGAAATCAACATTTACTCTAAAAAAATAGTGTCTTTTTCTACGTTTTGTCCTTCTATGTTTTGCAAATCAAGGTCATTCCTTATAAAATTAGTTTATATAAGTTCAAAATAAAGATGCGAAATTCCGGTTGTTTAATTTTTTTAGAACGAAATCAATTTTTTTCCAAAGTTGTTATGATGAAATCCGTTTAAATACTATGAAAACACAAAAATAAAAGAAATCGCAAAAGGAAAAAAATTATAAAACTTAAATTTATTGTATATAAATTGGTAACGACATTTGACCAAGGTTTCAATCAATAATGGAATAGAGAATTACGACAAAATGAAATTGTACTTGGTTGTATACAAAAAATTCTATCCTTTATCTTTACCCAAATCTACTTAATATTAATTCTTCAATTACCATTGTAATGAACTCAACTTCTATTATTGTTTGAGCTGTAATTTTCTTTTCTTCTTGAAACGGTACAGTAGTGAAGTTATTTATCTAATATTGTATTACTATGTATCTTAATGTTGAATTCAAGTCAGTAATATAACGAGTGAATCTTAACAGTATCGTAATTTGAAATAAAATTCTGAATGGAAAAATCTCTTCACATTTTATCTCTAAGAGTATTATTAGAGAAATTAAACCTAAAAGCTCTTTCACTCTTCCTTATAGTTAACTTTATTACTGAGTCAATCCTTGTAAGAGTATGACTTTATGTTACTGAACATTTAAGATTGTCTGTTTATCGTATCAATTTTGCAATAAATGAATTTTTACAAGAGTCAGGATCACAAAATGTGATTTATTGTGGCACAATTTTAGTCTTTCTTCAACCAAATCAGATAATCTTTCACATCCTATTTCAATATATAAAGGACGTGCATATTCTAACCTTCACTTCACATGTTTGATAAACCAGTTCAACATGTCTTGATGCGCCTCTTTTGCACTCTTCACAGTAGCTTCATCATCATCATTGTACCGCACAGTCCATCCATGCGTAACGCCAGGGAATAGTTTCACAAAGCTCTCTAACTGATACAAAAGCATTAACAATTTGGAGTGAACACTGCACATATTCATACTTGATAACACAATTTCTCACCTCAGATTTTGAAGACAGTTTTTCTTCAACTTGCTTCAACCTTTCTGCTGGGAAAAGATGGTCAATTTCGGCTCCCAGTATAGCAATAGGAATCTTCACCTCTGAAGTAAAACTAAATAAAGTTTGTCAAAAATCTTTGAAGTTATTTATCTACCTATAAGAATGAAAAACTCAAGTTTACCGTTAATTTCATCATCTGAGATTGGACCGGGATGAAGAATAACTGCAGCCTGAATGTCACTGGAAATTGCCAATTTCATTACCACACCCCCTGCACATAGTTCATCGGTATTGTCTTAACATTTTTCATGTTGTGAATTGAGACGATGAAGTTGACTAAAGGAAAAAAATTGAGTTACCTCCCCAGCAAAAACCAGCAGCTCCTATGGATTTAACACCTTTACTCTTTAGATCAGCAATTAGGGGTTGGGTGTCTTCACATGCCTTGTCCTATAAGAAAACATCAATCATATTTGCATAAACATACTTAGAAAGACATAAAACTACATGTATCATGCAGGTGTTTGATGAACTTGTGTCCAAAGAAAAAAAAACTAATTTTGTTATAAATTAAAGTCGGTATTTTTCATACTTTAAAAATGTTTATGGAGAATTTCGTTCCATCATACTTAGTGTTACAAAGTAATTAATTACACTGAATGGTATGGTGTGAATCAGTGATTTAGATGTATAAACAATTGCAGTTGTAATAAGAACTGAACTATTTACAAACCTTTTCGTGAGCCTTTCGCCAAGAATCTCGATCGAACTGAGGATTAAATAAGTCAGCATAGTCACCATACAGAAGATCAGGGACAATAACCAAGAATCCAGATGCTGCTGCTTTGTCAGCTAGTTTCCTTTACAGTGAGAGAATGTCAAAGCTCATGACAAATAATTCCATACAGAAAATCTCATGATGCAGTAATGAAGTATTAGACTCCAACACTATAAGCTAAGTTATTGAGTTTTCAAATATATAGCCGGTCACATACATAAAACTTGGTCATTCTTTGCAAATCCTTGTGCAAGCATGGTAGTTCAAGGAGGAAATCATGGAACAAGGAGTTCAATATTCATGGAAATTTTCATTTACCTTAGATTTGGTGCTTCATACCCTGAAATAATTCCAAAACAACTGAAAGTTAGATTTAAAGGGAAGTATCTTCAAAATGTGATATGTTCTAATGATCTTGAATTCCTCTTCCTTGATCCAAAACATATGAGTGAAGATTATTATGGTTTGAAGATTAAAACATTCCTTGATTCAGGATTGAATCAGCAGACATATAGTTGAACAATTTAAACGAAATATTAATCATATGATTACTGTAAAACATGTTGAAAGATAAGAAATTGGAGATGGGTTTCTTACCAAACACATCAGAAACAAGGATGAGTGCCAACTTGGAATCAGGAGATCCTGTTACATAAGAACTAAGTCCTCCAAGTTGTTGGACAGTTCCTGCTACATGGATACCTGAGTTCAACTTAGGTGGGTTCTGAAAACAATGAGAACTTGACATCGCCAAATTGAGGGATTGGTAGATACTTAGGTTGTCTTGTCAGAGAAGAGAAATAATTTTAATGGATCATGGAAGGAGTTCACTGAAAATGGTGTCACCAAATGCTTTTACAAATAAAATAAGCGTCACTGATTACGTCAGAGACAGAGAGATAGGTACATAATATATTAATAATTTGAAAATGTCAACTCCAATCCATAATGAAAATGACAAAGCACAAATCGATTCACCCTTAAAACTTTAGGAATATGGAAAAATATTAAAAGGAAAATGTTATTTGGACAACAAAAGTTTGACACAATTTTGACAACGGCGACGTGGCAGCTGTGCATTGGCTCAGTGAATTGAAAACAAACCAGAAAAAACCCAAAATACCCCTCACCCCGGTTCACTGAGCCAATGCACAGCTGCCACGTCGCCGTTGTCAAAATTGTGTCAAACTTTTGTTGTCCAAATAACATTTTCCATATTAAAATGACGGGGTTTTACTTTAAATGCTTTGTTTTTTCTTAAACTGTACGATTGAAGTTTGAAATAGTCTAATTTTAGTTCTTTATATTTATAAATTACATCACGTGGGAGTTCCAATGATTAATAAGCACACCACGTGGAAAATTAGATCAAAGAAAATTTGAGAATGAAAGTGACTAATCACTTCATCTTTTTTCAAATAATTTAGTTATTGTTTTCGTTGAATTGCTTATTGTTTTGTGTAAAAAAGAAGATAGTTGAAATAGTATATAATGAAATGAAATATCATCCTTGGTTGTATTTTAATTTTAATAATAAAATTAATATGGCTATGAGTTTCTTACATTTAGCCACAGCACAAGTTAACCTACACACTCCTTTTGGGACTTATATATTTACAAGTGCTATTAAATATTAAATGTGACGAAGATATTAACAACTTATAATTAACACCGGAATCAAAATTTAATAGCCTAACGAGAAAGGCATCATAAAAAAGGAAAAAATTTGAGAAAATTTTTACTTACCAATTGTGTTATAATAAGGACACACAACATGCATGAAACAAATTGTGAAACTTTTTATATATTTATTGAACAAGTTTTTTTTAATAGGCAATGAAAAAATTATTGAAACATCTTGGATAAAGGCGAAAGAAATGTCACTTCTAGTTTCAAAAGTTTGATAGTCAACAATTGAAATTTTCTCAAAACTTGAAGAAAATACGTAAAAAGTTTCAAGTTAATGCATTACAAATATGTAAGAAGCTTTGGCTAGCCAGTCCTCAACATATCTTGTTTTTTTCCTTTTGTCCGAGTATCTTTATAATCATTAATTGTCCATTTTACCATGTGAATATATCATTATGTGTTAAAACCTCCATTTAGCAAATAATAGTCAAAACCTAATAATTTATCTTATATAAAGTGTTAGTAGTTGCATTATGTTGGATAGGTTCTAAATAAGTATTTGGTTTGGATCGTTTTTATAACTACAGAGAATGTGACTCTCGTAAAATGTATTAGATAATTAAAAATAATAATATTTTTTAATATAACATCATTTTAATAAAACTGTCACAAAAACAAGTTTTTTCTTGTAATGTTTCCTCTTATTTTTTGTGAAATTAGTAATAGTTACAATGAAATTTGAATGGACACGTAGTCTTCTTTTATTATTGGAGTGGACTGTTTCATTTTCTTTTGGGCCTTTTTGTGTCCACTGTAGATTTGTGCAATCCAAAAAAAATATTAAAAAAGTGAGAGAAAACAAGTATTATTTCCCTCTTATACCGTTTTTCAATTTCTCAACTTCAATTAATCAAATATCATAATGACAAATTAATAGTAATTGTAAATTCCAAAGAAGGATTATTTTGTGACGCAATTAAGCGATAAGATAAATTATGAGCAGAAGAGATTAATGTTTTCCAAAGAATTTCTTGACTCTGCAAACTACTTTATCTGATTAGGTATGAAATGGTTGCAATTTCACCTTGGTTTGGTTTTATCTGTAACTGCTTTTTCGGATCCCATCACAATACCCGGGTCGGATTTCCTATTTTTAAAATATTGCAGTAATTAAAAAACAATTTGATATTTAACGGGAGAAAAATGAAAGGCAAATAAAGTGAAGATTGTTTAATTTACTGTAAATATTTCATTTACGATTTAATATAATTATAAGAAGATAAATATATAAATGATAATTAATTATGAGTGTTTATGATTGATTATATTACATGATATAATCATATTATATTGCAACGGTGACTTAAAAAAAACAACACTTGTACTTTCTTTCTTCCTCTTTACTCCTCTTTCAGCTACTCTTAAATTATCTTTGTTTCTTATAACTTTTCCTTCACTCATACTCTATATTCTTTTCACACAAGCTTGAATCTGTGATTGTTACATCAGTAGAATATGTGGTAACAGTTTATCAGTACCCCACTTTTTTTTTTCTATGTTCTCTTTACACAACCTTGTGACAATGATTAAGATAATAAGTTGTGGTGTACTTGTAAGAACAATGTCGAGGGTAAGAGAAAGGGCGTCAAACTTCATCGAGGAAAATTTTATAGAGATTATAAGAAAACTTCATTTACGTACTCAATGCAACCTCTGATTAAAAGAGCAGTGTTGAATGATTTATATAGTTCTTATTCGCCCTTTACATCCCTTTATGGAAATCTTTTCAAAGAAGAATTAAGCTCCAGGAAAAATGGTGACAGAGAATCAAGAGAGAAAATTTTACTTTCTTTTGGCCACATCAGGACAAGCAGCGTGTCACTACCCGCATCCACAATTAATAAGTACGAAAAAGAGTTGTTTTTATACTTATAAATAAGCTCAATCTTGTAATTATTCATGTTGTTCCTCGTTGAAAAGTTGTAATAGGTAATAGATTGTTATGTAAAATATTGTACAGGAAATGATGTATTATTTAGACTCTGTCAGCCAATTTTCGCAAAGCGAAAGCCAAAATTCGCACTGCCAGAAGAAGAAAATTCGCACAGCGCACCAGTACCTGTGCGCTGAGCGAATTAACATCAGTTAAAGTACAACAGTTAAGAAAATTCGCATAGCGCACCAGTACATGTGCGCTGAGCGAATTAATGAAATTAAGTGGCTTTAAAAGACGTGACAGAAAAGACAGAAACATTATCTCTTCTAACAGAAACGAAAACATCTCAGGAACTTCCGGAGACTACTTTAAGGCATCAAGACACCATTGTTGCAAGGGATTGCTTCAAATGTGTACGTTTTAGATTACTAGGAGTAGTTAAATTTCTCTTTCGTTGGGATTGGATGTAATGAACTCACTGTGATTGAAAAGTTGTAATAGGTAGTAGATTGTTATGTAAAATATTGTACAGGAAATGGTGTATTATTTAGACTCTGTCAGCCAATTTTCGCAAAACGAAAGCCAAAATTCGCACTGCCAGAAGAAGAAAATTCGCATAGCGCACCAGTACATGTGCGCTGAGCGAATTAATGAAATTAAGTGGCTTTAAAAGACGTGACAGAAAGACAGAAACGTTCTCTCTTCTAACAGAAGTTCCGGACAAAAGAAAGAAACGAAAACATCTCACGAACTTCCGGAGACTACTTCAAGGCATCAAGACACCATTGTTGCAAGGGATTGCTTCAAATGTGTACGTTTTAGATTACTAGGAGTAGTTAAATTTCTCTTTCGTTGGGATTGGATGTAATGAACTCACTGTGATTGAAAAGTTGTAATAGGTAGTAGATTGTTATGTAAAATATTGTACAAGAAATTGTGTATTATTTAGACTCTGTCAGCCAATTTTCGCAAAACGAAAGCCAAAATTCGCACTGCCAGAAGAAGAAAATTCGCATAGCGCACCAGTACATGTGCGCTGAGCGAATTAATGAAATTAAGTGGCTTTAAAAGACGTGACAGAAAAGACAGAAACATTATCTCTTCTAACAGAAACGAAAACATCTCAGGAACTTCCGGAGACTACTTTAAGGCATCAAGACACCATTGTTGCAAGGGATTGCTTCAAATGTGTACGTTTTAGATTACTAGGAGTAGTTAAATTTCTCTTTCGTTGGGATTGGATGTAATGAACTCATTGTGATTTAATTTTCCTGCTCAATATATCGTTGTTCGTTCATATGCTCTTTCTTGAATTTATTATCATTGTATGAAAATATAATGTTATTTGAATGTCTTTGATTACTGGAAAGTAACTTTGAACATGAACATAGATAGAGTACTTAAGTGATTTGAGATCTAGGGATAAACTCAATAACTTCATTCTTAACATCAGACTTGTATATTAAATTCACTAAGGGATTATCATTTTAATATATTAATTTAGAACTAGTTGCTAAGGGATTAAGACTAATATGCCTTGATGTGAATGTTTGAATGAAGTAATGAAATATTGAACAGAGTTTTATATTCATATGATTCATGAAACCCAATTCCAACTAAGTTTCTTTTAAATATAAATTCCTTGCACACCAACTGTTTGATAAAATACCAAAAATAGTTTCTTGTGTTGTTTTGTGCATTTTGATGTCTAATTGAGTTATAAAAGGAAGAATTGTCATGTGTTGCACAAGTCCCTTGGGAGACGATACTTTTACTTATTCACTGTATTATTTGGAACGATTTGGTATACTTGCCAAAACGTTATCAAGTTTTTGGCGCCGTTGTCGGGGACTTGTGTTCCAACACAAGGCAATTTGGGCATTTATGATTCTTTTAGACTTTGTTGTGAATTTTCCTTTTTAATGTTGTTGTGTATGCAATTGGCTTTAGTTTTTTAAGACTTTCCATTGATTTAGTTTGAACTTTATGCCTGTCTCGGGGTACGCTTTAGAGCTTGATGTTGTTATTGAAAGTTCTTAGGAATGAGATTTCAGTAGCGGAACTAACTAAATCAAACCAGATGTGCAAATCACCAGGGATGGGGTTGTGTGTTTGGATTCACTGTTTTGGAACTTAAGGCAAGTTTGATGGACTTCTTACACCAAGGGATTGGGTGAGGGTTTGTCATACTTAGGTAGGCACAACAAGAGGGATCTGAGTGTTCTAACTTCAGAAAACAGGGAAA